GGAATGCCCATAAATAGCCTCAAGCAAAAAAAAGTTATTCCAATTATTTTAGCTAATCCACCAGCAAAGCAATCTGTGCAAATAGGTACTTTTCTACTTACTCACTTTAAAATCTTCAGTCGAGTGAAAAGTGATGAAGCAATGAAAACATCCATATTAGCAAAATATTGCTTTCGTATTACTAGAGAAAACTTGATTTCAGTCCTTGAAGAGTTCAATTAACCCTCTCTGCCAGTTAACTGGGACAGGGAGAGCACAACTCCACCCGCCCCTTGCCGTGCCACCAGGCTCCTCCAGCGCAGGGAGCAGCACATTCACAGCTGCTTATCCTGGTCTGGGGCGACTAAACAAACCTTCCTGGGAGAACTGAATGATTTCACTCGCATAAAAGGAAAATTCAAGAAACAGTGGGTTTCACCTTGAGGGGTTGATGGAATACTCCTAACGCGTTTGCAAAAGATAACTAAGAAATCGAGGCAGTTAGGACTAGGCTCCAGTTGGCTATCCTAAAACTAAAACTGCTAGAATGAAAACAACTTGAACATGAGCTGAATTCAGTTTCTCTAATGTACTGTTTATACACAGCCGTGAATTCCACGCATGTGCCAATGCTTACAGGAAACCAATTTCTTAATATGTATCCTGTTCTGGACTTGAAAGGATGTTTAATGCAAACCATTCTTTCACCTGAAACTTTTTTTCAAATAAATGTTGCTGCAAACCTCAAATTCATAACCAAAAATAAGACTACCATAATCACTAGGAACAACATTATTGAATTCTACCTTGCAACATAGGAAGCCACTGAATATCCTTGTTATTAATTGCCACTATTAGAGCAAACCCCAAAGAGAACATGCTCAGTATCTCCAACATTCCTTTCTAAACTGCTTTGCTGAATCTATGTCCACTGGGAAATATCAGACTCAATTTATACATGTTGCCAAACAGCAAGAGTAACTCATGCAATTTGGAAGCCTTTCTGTCATAAATTAGAGAGGGTAAACAATTGCAGAAAAAAGTTCTTTACAGGTCTCCCAAGTTCCGTTACGGTTTCCTGTCGTTCTGAATCACAAGAAACTGAAGTTCTTTTCACTTCTGATCCCAGCATGAGCATAATTTTATAGATCGTATCAAGTGTTTAATTATACAAAAATCATAAAATTAGTTTTCAACTGATTAATATGCCACTAAATTTTTCAGCTCCCGAATATGTAAATATTATTTGCTAATTAAGTTTTAAGTACATGTCTTCAGTGCAAAGGGCAGTAAAAAGTTTTCATTTTGCAGCTATGAAGATCAAAGCTAAGGCTCAGCAATCACTCTAAATACACTTAGAACAGTAAATTCAAATCCTGATTTTGTTAAAAACTAAAACCTTGGTTTGGTTAACCTGTCAGGTGCAAACTAACAGAAGCTTTTCTAACAATGAAGCTATACAAGTAAAATCTGACAATACTTGAAACATGTCAGTGATGGAAGAATCCCTCCATCCCACAGCTCTCAGCCCTAGCTTCAGCGTATGCTGACTCTGCTTCTCAACTCCACTTCCCACAGCTCTCAGCCCTAGCTTCAGCATATGCTGACTCTGCTTCTCAACTCTACCTGGAAGTCATGGCATGTAAACCCCTAGAGCAGTGCTGGTGAGGGCAGAGACTAGCTTTGTGCACAGATGATTCCAATACTAACACTAAGTGTTCTTTTATATCATCACCCATCAGAGCCATGATTCATATTCAAATGCAACTCCTCCACACTACATGATTAAAACCTTTGAATTTCAGCACTCTACCTCAACGCACATTTCCTAAGAAGCAGGAAGAGATCATATACACAGATTATACATCTAAAGTGACAAAACCAAAATTCTTACCTTTTAGAAGAGCTACTTTAGCAATAGGTTCGTTTAGATCTTGGTCATCCATCTGAGCATCTGAAAAGCAAAGCCCACACCTTTCAGAGAGCAAGTAGACTGCAGACAATTTTCACATACACATTCTTTATGCAGAGAGAAGCTTTTGCATTCTTCTCACTTTACGAGAGTTAATTATGAAGCTGCAAAACAGATAATACTGCTCTAAAGCTTATATCTGACTCTGCATATTACACTCCAGTCTTTTTAGAAAACGGTCATGATTAATTAAGTGATTTAATTCAAACTATGAGATGTTAGAGAAAGATGTTACAGAAACCTCAGTTAAACTCTTACCTGTAGTGTCGTCGCTGCTTTTTTCCTTGCTTGGGCTAAGAGTGTCTGACAAATCATTCGATTCTTTGACCCGTCCTTGATTCTCTGTCAGAGACAAGGAAAAGCAACTGCAATCAGTAAATGCTTTGTTCATCATTTCTTCTATACACCTAACTACTGCTAAACTACAATACAGAACAACTTGGTTCAAGAAATGGTTAAAAACCTGATGGTTGTTACTGCTCTGCAAGTCTGTGCTAAAATGGATTGCGCATCCCTGAGGTCATGAATCCAGCCCAGCATCTAGCAGGGGATGCAATTGCCTCCTGCTCAGCTTGAACTTGGGCTACGGCTGTACTGCTGCCAGCTGGAACTGAGCAAACGCTGATTCAACCAGCAAACAAATAAGAAAAGAAAACTAGAACAACACAGATACTGTAGCAAGTCAGAAAGGATGTGTTGTTAAGGATGAAACTGTGCTTCAGTATTTTGGACAAATAAAATAATAGTAACAATTCTTGTACATACTGTACTGCTAAAAACAAGTGTGGCACGAACCATTAAAGAGTCTCAGCAATACAAATTAATATGCTACTTTCTAGTAAGAATTTTCAGTCCAGATTGTATTACAAGAAACCGGTGTATGTTCTGTCCACCAAAAAATACCTTCATGAAGCACCTGTTCATGCATAATTCACCACATTATTACATTCAGCTTAGTGAAGCCACACAGTTATTTTTGGTTTGGCTTGCTATTTTTTCCCCCCAGTTCTAGATTTTTAATGAAGATGAGAGATTTTCAAAATATGAGGGGACTTAATTAGACCAGTGCATCCTTTTCCCACAGAGAATCATCTCTGACTCAAAGCCAAAATATTTCATGTGGCTGAAATTTTTTTTTACATTTTTTTTTTTTAAAGAATAATTGTGGTTTAGTTCTGATGAGTCCATTAAAGAGCGACACATCATCTCTGGCATGGGCTAACCCAGCAGGTCTGTCAGCAAGGAGCCATGTCACCACCATGCAGGTGAGGTTATGCAGAATGAAATCTTTCTTGGCTGACTATTGATAGCCTTGGTTTGACAGCATTGCTGCCATCTGCAGATCAGCAGAGGTTTCCTCTGAGTCTCACGTTCCAGGTAGAGGATACATATAAAAAAGGTGTCAGCACAACATTCCCAGTACACAGACTTCACTTCTACCATACATGCAGGAAAGCACAGTGAACACAAATAATGTCACGACATATAGATAATGTACATGCAACAAATAAATACCAGGACATGGGAAGAAAGAAGCACAGCAATAAATAAATCAAGGGTTAGTATATGAAAGAAACAAAAAACAGAGTAATGAAAAAGGTCTCTAAAAAAAACCCAAGAGAACAAAAATAACTCAATTCTCTCAAAACGAAGTGGAAAGTGAAGACAACCTCTGCACCTACATGGGGAAATGAGCAAGATGACAAAAGAGGTTAATAGAAAACAAAACCAAACCAAACCAAAAACAAAACACAAAGAGGCTTCCTTCATCCAGCATGAGAAGTTTTCTATCTCTGTGCCAGAATAACATCCACTTGTACATGAAGCAGAAGGCAGCAAATACAAACAAAGCAGGTGATGAAGTGCCAGACTTTTCCCATCCTAGTGCAACCGAAATCACTGGAGAGGAGGGAGGGGAATAGCACCTGTACACTTAAAGCATATTAGGGGTTCAGTCCTGGCAGCTATTCCAAACAGAACTCCCTTGACTTCAGCTGACTTCCACGTCCATAAAGCCTAAAGTAGTTAAAAACTTGCTGTTTGGGGCTGGTTCTTTGCTAAAACAAAAAGGTATTTTCCTACTTTCAGGAATAAGGTTTTTAACTAATATCTATGGATGCTACAAATCAAAGCAATTTACATGCATCATACAGACCCAAGCCCAGAGGTCTGCCATTAAAACTGTAATAATTACTAAACCAAGCAATACATCCTTTTTACAATAATAAGAAAAGTATAACCAAAAAGCCTCACCCATGTCAATTATACCAGTGGCCGATCCAGAAGTGCTAAGCTGAGCAGTATCAGTATCCAACTAACTTTACCATATCTGGGCATCCATGGAAAAACAGCTTTCCTGCTCTGTGCAAAATGGGAGGAACAGTGCAAGCTCCAAGCACTGAATTAATTCTCTCTCCCCCACCTCCCCCTCAAACTTCCCTCCCACCCAACCGTGAATACATCAGCTTCTGCCTCCCTCTTATCCACCTCCTCTGAAACAGGGCACAAGATTAGGCACCAGGGGAAAGATGCATCAGTGCCTACATGTGGAACAGCAGCAGCCAAAAAGAAGTGATTTAGAGACCTGCTTCCTAGTCTGGAACCAGAGTCATAAGCACAAAACTCTTTCCTGTACTATATTATTTCACAGCAGTTGTTCCTATTTCCCGTAATAAAACTGAGCTGAATAAATATAGCCGAAGTGATGAAGTATATTAAAATGTGTTGACATCATACTTACTTGATGAGTTAGAATATATTACCAAACACCAAAAATAGCTCATGGCTTTGCAATACAAGTGGCATGCAAGTGTTACGTTACAGTTATTGTATGCATTCTTCAGCCAAATATGGCACCTTGTCTATAGCTTCCTCACACACAGGCACCGATGAAAGGTGCAATGCCATACATTAAGAGAAGAGAAAATAAATTAAAATGCCTCTAAAGCACTGGAACGTGTAATAAGCTAACATTTGTTCAACACAACAACACTTTGCAAAAGGACAGAGGGTGAAGAGATGAGTTAGTATGTCTAGACATCATAAAAAAGCTACAAAAGAGGAGTCAGCCAACAAGTCCAAACAACTTACATTATGAGACACCTGGGAAATACTGATCTGCACACTATGCAGCATTCCTGATTTTTGCACTGCAAGATAAGGATGACTCTTCCTTGACAAGATAAGTCTTTTCTAATTAGCTCCTTCAATTTTACTTGCTTTACACATTAGAGAAAAGAATTGGAGATGCACAAATCTATTTCATTTGGAAAAGGCACATTTAGGAGGTTAATACTTGTTTTCAAGTTATGAGGGTGTAAGTTAGAAAACAGTCAAATTAAAATACACTTTTATTTAAAACTTAAAATGAGCCTAAACATTATTTCTATTTAGCTCTAAAATAAAACCAAAGTCCTGTTTGAAATTTAAGCAGGAACTAAAGCTTTAATTCAATCTATAAAAAGTAGCACATTTTTAGCTTTTTTTAAAAAATGCACATTCAGGAAAGAACTCTGTCAATACTGAGACTAGCATTGTCTTCATAACTTGTTTCCATTAAATCTTTTTACCCTACAATTGCATTTGGGGCAGAGTTCAGTAAACACTATACCTCCCCTTGACTGAAGTTCTTCTCCAACGCACATTGAATCAAAGCTCAAACTGTTAGTTTAACACAGAACATGCACCGAGGTGACACACAAAGCATGCTTCAGAAACTGTTAAGTAATCCAGAAGTCTAACCTTTCAAAAGCTTTGTTTCTTCCACTTTGGTTAGATGTCCTTCATCTATGATCTTGTCTGCCAAACAAAATAAGTGTTACTTTCCAAGCTCAAATTTAACAAGCTTTTCCCTGCACGCATCTACGTAGAACACATTCCATGACCAAATTAAAAGCTGATAATGTTACTTCCTACTCAGGCTTGAACAAAAACTTTATTCTGGCACAGAATAATGAAACAGAGCACACAAGCCTACCGGAACTGTGATACAGTGCATCATTATTTCTCCTGCAATTTATTAACTTACATAATGCTTCAGTTCACTAATGAGAACTTAGGAAAATTAGTTTTACCTACTTCTTCTAAAAAGAGATATAACTGGAAACAATAAATAATTCATACATTTCTCACATTCTAGTCATCAAAAAAGGAATTCTAAGAGCTGGTTGCCTTAAATAGGTACCACCCAATACAGCACAACTCTGGAAAGATACCACAGTACAACAGCAAGAGAAGCTCCTTCCACATCACAACTGCTTGAACAGTGCCTGTGAAAGGTGCACAGAAACAACCTTTCTTAGCTTAAAACTTTCAAGTGACCTGCACAAGCTTCAACTGAGGTTTCATATAAAGTCTACTTTAGGGAAATCTACTCATGTATGTCAGGTGCATGAAAACCTACAAAGTAGAACTTGAGACTAGATTGCTAACTTCATCTTAACTCTAGCTAAGACATGAAGGCAAACAGTAAGACCAAGGGAAGAACAGGTTTGCACTAATCAAAGACAGTAAAACAACTACTGAACCATTGATTTCTTTTTTTCGGATGAGAGCTCATTATTTCACATTCCTTATGAAGCAGCTAGAGATGGCAGCATACGAAATGATCGAGGGTCACATCTTACAGGTCACATCCTCAATTTCTGTGCAGTAGATCTGGCAATTTAGACCACATTGAAAGCTGAAAAACCCCCCCATTCCCTCCCAAACATCGGGCCTGAAGCTGCTTCTGCCTCCCTTCTGTGCTCTCCCTGCCAGATCCTGATAACCAGGCAAGGAACCGAGTTTGCCAGTTAGTCCATGTGCTGTTAACAGTAAGTGAGACAGCGGAGCCTGGATGCACAGCACAAACAGGAGAGTTCAGATTAAAGAAGCTGGATGAGAGTAAATCCTTTTCAAACTTCTCACTCAAAAAAAATAAAATAGTGAGCTTTAGTACGCAATTCCAGCTTTGAGGAGCTCTGAAGATTAACAGGTCTCTGTACTCCTCCCATGGTATGTTGCTATAATCATGACAATCTAAGGACAGATGCAGGACAAGACTTGTAAGGAGGTATCTTTTTCAACCCTAGACAAGCTTTCAGAGGAAAAAACCCTGAGGTCTGTAGAATGGTTTGCATGGTCAAAAGGTTGTCCCTTCCTCTTCCCTCTCCCACAGCCAAATAAACCAATCTAAAAGAGATATTCCCTCCATCTACTTTTACCTACAAATACTGGCCTGCATTCCTGTAATATTTAACTGATACTGCTTCAGAAACACACTGAACAGCACACTGGATTTTCAGGATTGGCTTCAGGTCTCAAGCAACTGGAGGAGATCACTCATCATCCAAGTTCAGAACAGCCTCAGGTTCCTCAGAGCTGGAGAGAATGACTGTCCCTAGACCGAGGAAGGCACTGTGGAGGGAATCAGGTTACTGCAGCCACGAGTCAGGAGTTTCTGAGTGACATCATGAGCCTCTTTCATTTAAAAATAAAATAAATCTAAATAAAAGTCTTCATATATGATTATTCCAGGACTCAGCTGAGGCTGGAAGGGGGTGGAGGAAGGCAGCCAGAAAAAGCTGAAGAATTCTGCCCATAGAAACAAAAAAAAATAGCTGAATGCAAAAACCATACAAAGCAGCTACCAGCTGCTTGACCTGAAGAGGTAACACCTCATCTGTCCTAGACTGCTGGCTTAAAATAGGCTCCTGTAATCAGTTTACAGAGGAAACCTTAGCATTACAAATTGATGGTTCTTAGAGCTTTCCAATTCAGTAAGTGCTAAAACCAGAATAATTACAGCACAAACCAGAGACACAAGTCTTGACACAGAAGTCTTCAGAACTCAAACTTTTGCCTCAGCTCTTTACACTCAATTCTCATGACTAAAAGAAACTGCAGGCGTCTATCTGTCTTCATTGCCATCGTGGTTTACTGTCTTCTAGGGTCCATTCCTGATTTCACCATTGTACCAAAGGTTTCTTCTTGACACTATTTCTGCAGCAAAGACCTCCAGCAGCAGCACAGTGCCCTGGCCCAGGGTGCCCCAAAGCTGGCACAGCCAGTGATTTTCACTTGGTGACCGACACCTCTTCTAACAGAGCCACTGAGCATTCTCTGTGGTTCACGAGTGCTACCACTAGTGTATTTCAAAGCCAACAAAAAAAGTTTATTTCAGCATGCTGGTGTGTATTTAGATAATAAACAGCAAATTGGCCGTTAGTATCACTGAACTACATAAAATCTTATTTGCCACTAAAAATGGCAGAATTCAGATAACAATCAGCAAGTAAAAGGCACAGATACATCTGCTTTAAAACACTTTTTTTCAGATCTCTGCATCTTTTCATATTACTATTTTGGAAAAATTCATAAACCAGACTGATTTTTAAATCAATTCATGTTTTCCCTGCATCAAGGCATGCAATTTTGGCTACCAAACTATAAATTACAGTGAGGATCCTATCTTTAATTTCTGGCACAAAAGAACATGATCTTTCAGGCTATTCAGTCACGACTTAACATATAAAAAATAATAGTTTTTACTGGAACAATCTCCCGTGAAGTTGAGCTTTCAGTTCATCTATAAGACAGTCCATATTTCCTTTTGCTGATGAATGCAGCTCAGGGGCAGCTTCCTTCAGGTTTCTAGGCATTTCCTTTCACTCTAATTTAAGAACTCCTTTTTAGATTTAGGTTTCCCATCACTATGTGCAATATAATAGCTAAGATCTGTTAACATTACAATTAGCACTTAAGTAACAAGCCCCAATACATTTATGGTTTGGTATCAAAATAGTCTTTCAAGAAGGTCAGTTCTGAAAAGCAATAAAAGAAAACCTGCACCTCCACACAGACATCTCAACCATCTGAAAAAATGCAATACCGAACAGCTTTAACTTTACTTGCCACCTGCAGGTCAAATAGAAATTCATGGAAAAGTTAAAAGCCACCATTAATCCATCCAAAAACTACTAACAATAAATTTTTAAAAATCAGCTTAGTAAAAACGAAAAACGTGATTTGCAAAAATCACAAAAGAAAGGAAAAAATAAGGACACAAATAAAGAAGGGTTAGATTGGAGTGAAAGAGAGGAAGCTACCAGGGCACCAGATCTCACTTTCGTTACACATCCTCACCATTTCTGGTAATGACTCATATCATGTACTAAGCAAAAAGCAGCACCATGACTTTCAGCAGTGGTTACTGAAAAGAAAAAAAGCTATGGAATGAGCAACAAGTGAACTGTAAGTAATGATCTGAAAGTAACAGACTTCCCAGATCATTCAGAGCCAGATTTCAGAACGTTCTACAGGTATTGCAGATCAGGACACATTACTGGATGATATGATGAGCCACCTTCTGCTTAAAAAATTACTAAAAACATCTTTAAAACCCTACAGAAGCTGGGCTTTACAAATACTACTACCCAAGTTCAGCATCCAAGCTACACTGCAACTAAGATTTTAGTGTCCTGTTACTTCTGCCCCACCAAAATTTGTAGCTTTACTGCCTCAAGAGGTCTTATTGCTCTCAGGTGATGAACACTTTCAAGTCTTACACCTCCACAGCCTCTGTTTGTATAGACTATTAGATTTCTAAATCTAGTTTTCCCTCGTGTGCCATCCTACATACTCCACTTCCTTAACTCAACCTGGTTTTCCACAATTCTCTGCTTGTGCTTTCCCAATTTAAGTGCTTCTTCCCCAGAACTGTGCAGATGTACACTTTACTCACTGCACCAGCACACCAAGTCAGAACCTTCTCTTCTAGACAAACTGTATGGTTGTCTCAATTCTGTCTTTTTAGATTTCTTTTATGATTTGCGGATCCTGCAGTTTTAATTCCTCTGCTTTTATTACAAAACAGTAAACCCTACACAACACAACTGGAATGAGTGACTTCTGTTTCTGGGGAGTTTATTGTATTATTGTTTTTTAAGTCATAAACCTGCTCCACTCTCAAACCTCTGGGCAAAAACCAACATGGCATCATGTGATGAACTACTCCAAACGCTCAATGCTACATGGAGCACAGAACAGGAGTAGGACTGAAGGGCAATGCTCACATGCAAAAGGAAAGTAACAGATCCTGCAGTTTGCAGGTTTTAACCTCGTGCTATTGTCAGGCCTGACTATACATATTTGAGTTTGGAAAAGACAAATTTTCAGTCCAAGAATAAATACAGGAGCTGCTGATTTGGAATCTTTCCTTGTTCTTGATGCAATAGTAAAAACTTAGACTGCCACAAAAAATTGCAAAATACTGAATCCATTGAAGTCATAATCATTCTTTCAGAAGTGAAGCAACTGAAGCCTTGCAGAGTCTTCATTTAGCTTTTAATCTCCCAAGAAAGAGGAGGCATAAATCCATTAATCTTTGTTTTACTCTTGTAACTACATCGAACACATCTTGGAAACTGACTAGATACTGATCATCACTTTTCCTTCTCAATAGTGACAAGACTGATCACATTCAGTTTGCAGAGGTGATACGAATCTAAGTTTTGCTAAAATAGGTTAACACCCAGACAATGAAAACAGGCAACCAATTTGTATTTGAACATCACTCAGTGTGCTGTTCATGCTCAGTCTAGACAAAAAAATGTTTACTCAAACACTTCATTTTTAGGTACTGAATAAAAAGGATCTACACAAGATCTTTGCAAAATTTGGAATTATTTTCAACTGCAGCCTGACAAACAGGTACCAGTCATTCGTTTTGCAAAATAAACATTTTTCAGCTAAATAAAGTTGACATTTTCCTAGATAGACATCAGCAGTATCACATCATTCAGCTTATAGTGCTGTAATCTGTATCACAAGCAGTAAAGTCAAACAAGTCTGTTACACTTCCTTGTCGACATTTAAGAGACAAGAGTCAAAAAAGATATTGTCTTATTTCTGCTTTTAAATGCTTCTCTGCTCAACATTAGGTACATGAGTTCTATAGACTCCTCAGTAAAAAAACCAATTCTTTATGCTACGAAGCAGTTTTCTTTCAAATTTAATAGCACTTTTCTCTCTTCATTCTAATGACATTTTTCTCTCAGACAAAATGTATTAACATCTTAGGGTTCTCTTTTTAATTAAAGAAATTGAAACTTTAATAGCAGACAATACTGTTTCATTACTCATTTTCAAAGCCAATTGCCTGGATAAACATGTTTCACGTTGCAGAGTAACACACCTTTCTAAAGACTGGTATTGTATATTTACTGCATATTTTTCTTCAAGCAATCTCTTGGATTTCCACCAAAAAACTATGGACTTGTTTGCCTTTTTGTTCTTTGCAACAACTAATCTGAAGAACGTGCAAGGCCTTTGATTCAGATAAACTACAGATATTTGACAAGGCATCATTACATTACCTTCTCTCTGTCCTACTGCTGCATGTGACGTTTGCTTAAACTGACAGTGTTAGGATTCGAACTCAATTTGCAACAGGTGAAAAGTGGCACTCAGCTTTAAACATCATGTGGCAACATCAAGACCCTTCTGTTGGTCAGGGCACAACAAGAGATTAACTGCTAAGGAAAGATGATGTGACCATCACTTTACAAGGGCAAAGATATCCTCTCACTGCTACTACAGACACCACAATGCCACAACTCCATGCTTAGAAAATTTCTGCTACTACAGAAATATCAAATAGTAACTGACAAATTCTGGGTTTTATCCACCTTTTCTGGGTTTTCTGTCGTTTTTAAAGCAAATGTGAACACTCTTGTACTCACTCTGACATTCTATGAACTGATGGATAAAAGTGCAGTCCCCTCCACTCTTTGAAAGAAAGTGCTCTGGTAGAGAAAGAAACACTTCAGTTTATATCTTCTTATAATTTTCAAATTGATGCAACAAAAAATTTGAAAGGCATATTAACAGTATTTGTAATTCTGTATTTACAGTGAACTTTTGAAATCTGAGTTAATATGCAAGCAGACAAGACACAAAACTGAAATGGCATCTGAGTGATACTAGGAAACTCATTACTCTTTTGAACTGATAAGAAGATAGAAGTACTTCAACTGCATTTTCAAAAGAAACATGTATCTAGCCTATAATCTTCAGCATTTTTATTAGCTTTAAAAAAATCTAGCAAATTTTTCATTAGTCTTCATGTTGATTCTTCATACCTAGTACCCTCTTGGATTAAAAACATTTATTTTCAGTGTTGTTGAATATCTCCCTTCACATTTTCAACAGTTCTGCTGCACAGAAGCAACAATTTTTGGAAGGACAGTTCTACATTAGAGATCCTAAAACTGGGCTCAATTCTCAGGTTTACTCAAGTCCTTCTATGTGACCTTGCTCAGCTCCCAACTCCATCAGAATCCTACACGTCTTCAGGTGTAAAGGTGCTAACACTTCCTTTCTGAAGAACCTCCAAACTCCTTTAACCAAGACTCCAGCAGACTGAAAGAGCTGCTTTTAGTAGAAACCTGCAGAATGTGGTACATTCTAACCAAACTGTTCAATCATTAGCTCTGCCATCAGAAGTTCAGCTGCAGTACTAAGCTTTACTAGATTTCGAAGTTGCTCTACAAAGTGAACTTCTCTTCTAACCCACAAGGACAAGGCTCTTAAAAGGCAGCAGCATGGCTGTAACATTTATTTTCTCTATCTAAACTTTATTTTCCTTTCTACATGACCCTCTAAGTGACTGTGTACGAATTTCTCATTTTTCTTTGGCTCACAAAATCTAAAGATGAAAGCCCAGTGTGGTGCAACTAACTGAGAAAACCACTACTTTTTGAAGCAATTTAGCTGTACACAACTTTTATTGGGGGGTTGATTTATAAGTAAGTTCCTCTCTTCTGCACCAGATTTTCCATATGTGCAATGAGAGAAAATTAATGCCTAACCATCATCATCTGAATGCATTTGGTTACCAAAAGCCTCTAGACTACAATATGAGTTCTTAGCTCCTCTGCTCTGAATACAGCTCTTGAATGCTGTGGACAGCCACAGAAGAAAGTACTGTAAACCCCTTATTCTTGCCAGATACTGTGCCTTTGTACACACCCTGAGGACTTGACCTGAAACCATACTGATTTTTCATGGTTTTACAGTCTTCCTCTTTCATTGCCAAAGTTGCTCAATCTGCCATTATAAACCCCAAATTCTTAGCCCTTCTAAAATAATTGAAGAATACTTGGTGAAAAAAACCAACCCAGCACTAACTGCCTCCTGTTACTTTTCAGAGAAAAAAATCCATAATCTGGCAGAGCAAATTACTGTCCATCTGTCACACGAGAGCTAGAGACAGAACCAGCAGACACAGAAAGGCACAGACTGTCATGAAGAGAACACAGGGCAGGAAGCTGTAAAATGCCAGAGAAATGTGGATGGACCAGGTATGGCAGAAAGGCAGAGGAATGTGGTACAACCAACAGAATAATGGAAAACTAGGCTAAAATCTAGAATAACAAAATAGCATGGTATGTGCATGACAGAAAAGGGTGACACTGTATAAACACACCAAAAGACCACCTGGATGAGCAGTTACAGGTTTTCTGTGTTCATAAAGAAAAAGAAATTGGCAAACAGCTTCCTAAAACCTTCAGGTTTAAGCACAAGTTGCACTGTTACTCGTAGGATAGATGAATCTATCTTGTCATGCATCCTTACAGATGACATTGACTCTTATGCAACCCAAAGTAAGTCAAACAGGGATTGCTGCTTGGACTGTCACAAAATCAGTGAGTATTAGTGACAATGACGTTTGTTATAATCACATAATGATTAATTCAATTAATTAATTGACAAAGTGTTTGTTTAAAAAATACTATCTCTACTATGATGTTATCCATTTTTTCCTCTATAAAACAATTTATATTTGAGTAAAAGTTGTTTCAAATTACCTCTAGGCTACTTTTGCTCAGAGTATTGCAAGCTTTTTTAATAACCTCTAACAGCCTAAGCTTCAAAGTCTTTTTATTGTTTACACAATTAGAATGAAGAGTCACTATCCTGATATACTTCAGTTTTGTCTTGTAAAGAAGTTAAGTTTTGTGGGGTGGAAGTTTTTTAAAAAATAAAAGCAAGTTTATTACTTAACCTTTGTATCATGCATTAAGAGTACTTGAGCTGAAGTACTGAGAAAGACAAAAGGAACCTTAAAAAACCATACTGATTTTTCATGGTTTTACAGTCTTCCTCTTTCATTGCCAAAGTTGCTCAATCTGCATTATAAACCCTAACTACCAACTAAAATTAAGCATCAGCAAGATAGATCAATCTATCTAAAAATAAACCATGGCAGTTCAGAGAACTGGGAACAGACATTAGGTGTTGTGCTTGCTAACCTCAGCATGCACCAAGCGAAGTGCCTACAAAGCTAAGACACGAAGGGATAACTAGCAGTCTTGGATTAAGGGGAGGTTTTGCTACAGTTCCCGTGGGTGTTAATTGTGACATAGCCTTATGGTCCTTACTTGGAGCAGGAGCAGAGATCTGTTTAACTTTTTGTTTTGCTGTTGGTCTCCCTAGTTAAGAACTTCTTAATTTACAAATATGCGTAGAGAACTTCAAAAATGTTGTTCCAAAAATATACACAGTAATCCTTAAACACTGTGAATATTAGTTAAAACCATGAGTTCTCTATAGAGGTGGCCCAGTCTTCCAACTAGTACAACCACCATTCCTCAGACCACAGAAGAAAGCATATCAAGGAAAAAATTAAATTTTACATAAGAGGACAAATATATCTCAGCCAATGAAACAGCTGAGTGAATCTGGAATCATAACTGGAATGCTCTTTCCTATATGTGATAATGGCCATATTCTTATCAGACAATTTTATCCAAAAAACTTCAAGTGTGTGTCAGGACACATCCGCTAAAATACTTGGCTTTAACTAAGTGGTCTTTAAAAACCACCATTGCTTAGATCAATCTATATTAATTGCTGTTTCCCATAAAACACTCATGAGCTTTAAAAAGTTAGTTTCCACTATTTATATACTTCATATATATCCGTATTTTTCATGTTAGAGAAATAAAAGTAGGCTGTGCTGACTTTACTTACCATACCCAATTTACTAGAAAAATGGTGTGTGTCTATGTGCTCAAGGGGAAATAAAATTAAGAGGAAAAACAGCCAGTGAGCTTTCCAATTTCTTGTGTCACAAGCCTGACATTGTTCAGGCGACTCCTACTGATCTCAGTGACAGCCCATCACAAACAAGTGAAAAAATAAAGACTACTTCCAAGTTGTTTCATGACATTTCATGGAATTTTCTAAAAACACCTAGACTGAAAGTCTAAGTAAAACAAAAATGCTGGTCAGTCGAGTGGAGAAATTCAATCTCATTTTTAAAGAGAATATTATTCAAAATAAAACTTGAGAGAACATTTTGAATTGTTCAACTTCAGACATCAACCATAAGACAAAAGGTAGCCTTGAGATACACTACCTTTCTCTGTGCTCCCATTAATTTTAGGTATGAAGTCATCAACTTGTATGCCTAGGATTAAGAAAGGGTATTATTTTGAAACCAAGAAAAAGGTTTTGGGTTTTGTTTCTTTATAAATACAGCATTGCAAAATGTATCTGGCTTTACATACTGCCTCTTCCTTTTAAGTCTCTCATCAAACAAACCAGGCAAAGTTTGATGTGTTTTGCTGCACTACAGATCATGTTCCTGTTTGTTCAGAAGGTTTACTGTTACTGTTTGTATAAAAGGTTACTGACATCCAAAGAATTACTGCCTATCACATACATAGATATTTTTAAATCCTTTTAGATACTTAAATACACATCTATAAACCCCTTCCAGGCCTGGGGGCTGAGGGCCCAGGCTGAGCCCAGCGCACACCACAGCAGCAGCGCCCTCTGCCGGCAACACGCCCCGCAGGGAACCCAGGACACTCAGAGCAAGAGCAACCACCACTGGGAGAACTGGGAAACAGAACTCTCCTGCCACACACTGAGACTACACAGTCATAATAACAAAAGTCATTGAACAGAAAATCCGGAAACCATCTTGAAACAAGAAACTGATCAGACCTACCTAAGCTGTTGTGTTCTTTAAGAGTTTTCTCTTGCAGATGTTCTAACCGTACTGTAAACAGAAGTCCAAGAAAAAGATATTTCACAGATTAAAAGAAAAATAAATAATCCAAGTTTCTTCCCCACTAGTGACTAACCTTGTAAAGCAGTGAGCCGCTCATTGGTGAAGTCATTATCAGCCTGCAAAGCTTCTATTTTTGCTTGAAGCTCTTGCTCTCTTTCTTCCATTTCATCTATTTTATGCTGCAATTCCTTTTTCTCAGCCAGTCCTTTCTGTTGGATTTCTTCTTGTCTTCCTTCTGCTACCTGCTCAAAAAGATGAAAAAAGTTCCCAAATCAAAATTAACATGTGAAAGAAACTCCTGGATGTTTATATAACCAAATGTACATAAGTAAACTTCTTTGCTAGTTACAGAAAAAATGCAAAATGTACTATTTTTTCCTAAAATTTTCATTTCAATTACAGTAAGAGAGAAAGAATCTCAAAATACCTTAACTAACTTTTGTCTGAGGAATGTAACTTGTACAGCAATAGTAAGAGGGCCCCCAAGAACTAAGTCTCTGAGCATCTCCTATCAGTCAAAACCCAAGAGCCCTTGAGAACTGGATGCACATTGCACAGATCAACCTGATTGAAAGCCACATATTTTCCTCGCTGGATCTCAGGATATAAGTTTCGAAGACTCTCCTCCCTCAAAGCCAGGCAATAAGTTACAGTTTTGATCCTTCTGTGTACACTCATCGTCATCAGTGATTAACTCAAGAATGGGAAACCATTTGCCGTAAAACCTGCAATTTCACATTTTAATTTGGAAAGAAGAATCTTCTGCCTGAGTTGCTGAACTAGGACTCAAAGAACCTAAACTTAAATTCCAGTACTTAGCCAAGACAACACTTCTCTCAGGTCCCCACAGATAACACCACTACCTTCCTCCTCCCTCAACTTCTACTTATCTAGACTGGAGACTCCTTGGGAACAGACTTTGTTGTAAAGTGATCATTCTCTTCTGCAGCATAAAGGACCTTCAAATACTTATATACTTAGACATTTAGTTTAACAACAAGCCTGATAGGACACAGCTATCCCCTGGAAGCTGAGCCATATCACTACACGGTGGGCCAGTTATGCTTGTAACTGCCCAAAGAACCAAAATGAAACACAATTCTATTTCAAATTCTTGTTCTCATTCCCATTACCTTTAAGATGTTTAGGTTGAAATTTATTTGTCTATGTAAAAGCAGCTGAATATGAAGTTTTGCACCACACATACGTTTTGGCTCCAAAACTATGGTAACTTTCAAAGTGAACAAAATGAGAACCTTTCTAGCAAGTTACCTAACTGATGACAGTTTCAAGTACAATAAAATTAAACAAAAAGAATATGCAAATCATTATATGCATCTTTCTATTCTTAACCTGTTGTTTAAAGTTTCTTAACCTTTTTGATTGCTACATTAGAAATACAATTGTATTTGTTGCATCCATCACAGTTTCAGTCAGATTAATTTCTGTCATTACCTTTAGCTTGTCAGAAAGATCTTTAATTTCATTTACAGCTCCATTGTACTTATTGGCTAATTCCCTTAATTCTTCCTGAGTCCGCTCATTCATTTCTTTCAGGTGTGTACATTCATCTTCTGTATTACTTAAACTTCTCTGTAAGACAAAATTATTATGCAATAAATAACAGAGAAAGAGAGACAGTAAAACTATCAAACACTGAAGATGATCTATTTTTACCAAGCAGTATAATGCAACTAATCATGTTTAGCTGCTTCGCTCCTAGTCATTAGTCACTAGTTCCAAGTCCTGGCAAAAACACTGTTACAAACCTCTAATGTTCTACTTAAGGAACAGATTATGTGAAATTATATTGCATTATATATGTGCAAAAAAACCAACCCCAAACCAAAAACCCAATAGGAGGTTATGCAGTTGTGATTAAAGAACTGAAGTGCGTGCTCCATCTCCCCCATTCTCTTCTGCCTTATGCTAAACTGTGAACGATTTATTATTATTTTCTAATTCAATGTAATTAACAGATTATATCATGCCTTTCTCCCAGCAAAGGAAGATTTAACACATTATAAGAGCCAAATGGCTTCAAGGAAGCATTCTAAATCTTTTTCTGCACTCCGTAATCTCCGTAATGTGCAAAGGCATCTAAACTAAGATCCCCTTACTCAAGAGGCAGCTGGATCTTCAGGAGGCAAGGAATGCTCCACAAGATTGCACCAGCTGGTGACAGCAGCACAACTAAATGGTATAGAGAGCTTCCTCATAGCTCAAGATTTCTTTCTCCATAAAATGCTTTTGGTCTTTTCTGGGGAAGTGCACACGTGGGGTGTGGGGTGTGCGGGAAGGGAACAAGCTCTGACTTAGTTCTCCTTCATGACCAAAACTCCTTTAAACAAAAGTGCATTCAAAACTACATAATTATTAAAGGACAACTTCAACCAGGAGCCAACGGTTCTTCTGTATGAAGAGCAAAGTATGTAGCAGGAAGCACTCAAGCTTTCTAAAGTTATATTAATATTTCTTCCCCAAGAGTCTAAGTGAAGAGGAACAAGCAGACTAAATGTCAGCACATTCTTCTCTTAGCATAGGAAAGGAGAAGAAAGCTAGAAGTAAACATAAAACTCCCATCCTTAACAAACCTGTCAAGAACTACTACAACATAAAAAGGTCTATTTAAATAGAAGCTCATAAGGTTATTTACTACAACATTGTTTCCTCTAAAAGCATGAAGAGAAGAGAGACTTTTTTCACTTAATTTGAAGTCTTATGAGACTTCTTGACCTAAGGGAACATAGCAAATAATGCTAAAGGAAAAAGAAAAAAAGACAGTAATGAGAGCCATTATAGGGACAGATATCTTTTTTGAAGACAGTGTCCAAAGCTGTCATTGTAAAAGCTCATTCTTCAGTGCACTCTGCAGGAGTGGTTAAACTTATGTTTCCATACATTTTACAGTTTCAACAAGGTCTCACAGCATTTTTTCTAAGGTATGTATGTCATTTCCCCCTCACTTATCTCCCACACACAGTAACTTCTGTGAGACAGCTTCATACATTTTGAAACCTGGTAGAAAAAGGAGTTGAATTAATAGTTTCCTATTAAATGTACAAAAATCCTAATATTGTCCAGTAAGAGAAATAACACTACTACTTATTATCCTGCAAGTGTCACAGTATAACAGATCCTGGTGTATTACAGGCAACAAAACAGAGACCTAAGTAGCAAGAGCTGTTTAACTATTTCAGCATTTCCAGAAGATGAGTACCTCCACTTCAGACAGTTTTCTGACCACTTCAATTTTCTCCTGGAGGACCCGCCTCAGGGACTCTTTGGCTGTTGTCTCATAGTTGTGTTTGTCTTCCTGCAATGCTATAAGCTCTTTTCGTATACTGTCTTCTGTTTGATTCTGCACATGTAAGGTAATTCAAACACAGAATATAAATTAGCATTTTGCTGATGCAATGTAACAGTGTTGCAAAGTCTGTTCTGTTAAAAAACATTTAGCAATTTCTGATAGATAAGAAAAAGTTATATACAAATCAGTGATCAAAGATGCTTGACATGACTGGGTGTAAAGCAGCTATTCTATGAAGTATATGTATAGCAGCACATGTTCAATGGTCAGTTTTGATTACAGGAAAATGATGAGGTTTTTTGGATACTGCTAAGACAATGTCAAGCCTCGGAGACCTACAGTTTGACAAACCAGAAACCTGTGAGGTCCCATATGAAAGATCTTAAACAGGACCTGCAGAGAAACTTCTTATAATGTAGATAGTTGAGAGGAAACAGAAACAAAATTAAAATTCCAGGCAGGCATAGGTGGCCTCAACAACAAACAGGGCAGGACATGCTTGTTACTGCAAACATCAGACAGCACTTGGACAATGACAGCAACAGACATTTATCCAGATTCCATGAAATACAGAGCAGATCTACAGTTTTCATGCTACTCAGATTATCAAAATTGCTCAGGCTCATTTCCGAAAGTTTATGTTCCAATTGCTTTCCTACAATCAGCTAATTTCAAAACACTTGCAAAGAGCTATCTTTCAGCATTCCTAACATTCACGTGAAGTACCCACCTTTGAACAAGCCTGTAACTGATTTCCCATAACCTCTAGTCTTGATAGCAGCCTGTCTTCATCTATTAAAGCCTAGCAAAACAGAAGTAACACCCTAGTATTAACATGTGCTTTATGCAATGCCAGTAGAGAACTAAAGACTTGCATTTTGTTGGAGTACTTACTACTAATGATTATCAAACTGGTACATGATCACTAAATTTAAACATTACCTTTTGTACAGTTTTAGAGAGTCACCATAAAGTTTTTATCATTTCTGCTGCTTTTCCCTTCTGATGGTTTGTAAATTAATAGATAGAATTTATATTCCACTGCATAGCTCAGCCCATAAGGAAAAGGATGCCTGTAGGTACCTGCCAACTAGTATCTGAAGCCTCTTGTGTGACAGCAAGTAGTCGCTGAAGGGTTGCCAGCTTCTGTTCCAACATTTGTTCCCGATGTAAGGCTTCCTGTGAAGAGAGAAGGCCACCAGTCAGTGCAGCTACAACAGCTCAGAAAATCACAAGCAACAGAAGAGAACACGAAATACAAGAAAAAAAGGAAATGTGAGTGGCAAACACTGTCACATATTCAAAACCATAACAAACCCATTGCATTTTATCCATCCACATATTTATTTGGGCATTTAATCAGAAGATTGCTATTCTATAACCTAAGGCTCCTGAAAACCTTAATTTGTCATGCATATGTTGCACATGCTGAGGACAAATCATTATTCATTCCAGGACTTCAAAATACTTTGTCTTTTGTCAATAAGTAACAGAACTATAGACACCAAAAGGCAGCTTGGCAGCTCCCATGCAATGGGCTGTTCACCCTCAAATCAGGTCACAAAAGAAAAATGCCAAGCAAGAACTACTATTTTTGTTTGATTTTTGGTTTATGACAGTGAGATAGAAGAGCATCTTCGTTAACAACTCCAGGATATGGAGAGTGAACAGATTGGTGAGTGACTATGTATTTGGCTTCCCAAGAAAGAGCATCTGCCTGAGCTGCTTCCTGCTATGTCAGCAAATACATAAAAGATAGTATCTATCTTAAAAACCTCAGCACTGATATGAATAAAATTTGCCATTATCAAACAAAAACGGGCAAAATAAGTCAGTAAAACCATACATAAATTAAACCTAGACAGAATTTACCAGTAAAAATGTTGTCATATCTTTACCGGAAAAATGATTTTATAATCCTTTCTAAAGAGTTTACTTGTACCTATAAGCACACACTGCAATGTGTTGCCATCTTGCAGTGTAACCCTTTTGGGACATGACATCTTAGGGGAAAAACACACCTAATAAAACTGACACAGAGGCAGGCACAGAAAGGCTGGTGATGCCAATGAGGAAGAAGAGTTGCCAGCACTGTCCCCTCCTTTATAGTTTCCAATAGATACAGGGACATAAATAGTCACAGTAAGAAATTACATTCACAGAAACAAACTACTTCTTGACACATGAAATGACCTCTTATGTTGCCTTTCTTTTGTTCTACCATAACTGCTCTATACATACACAGAATATCCACAGCAACAGATGCAATGGAAATATTGTGAGCAAAGGAAAATTGAGGGCAGCAAGGCAGGAGAAGAGAAAGGCCAGGAAAAGCAGGTACACGGCATTCAGGGAGTTTCTTTACAGGCAACTTTCATGTTTCTTTTATAAAAGACATAGCTTACACTGCTCATGCAAAACCCCAAACATTTACACAGAACTATACCATGTCCAAGTACAACATCTTTTACATTACTTCACTATAGAAAAGGTAGTTAAGTGCTTATTGTTTTTGTTTACACAACACAAGCCAAAGACAGACACAGACATAGAGAGCATAACATTTGTGTTTTGAACAAAGATTAACAATTTAGCCAAACTAAATGCTGTTGAGAGAGAACCTACTTGTAGATACTGTGAAAGCTGAAACAATTCCTGAGAATACATACTGGGAGTGTTAGCAGCAACCTGAAAGAGAAGATAAGTAAGAATCAGAATGGCTTTGGATTTTTCAATAAACTCAAATAATGCAATATTCACTTAAACCTAGTCATGAAGGTAAAATATAATCTGATACTAGCATTTTCATTCATTTATTGTTCTGTTATTATTTAGGCTTTGTTCTATTATGGACCTTCCCAGCTCAGGACTGAGGCCCCACTGTGTTTACTACTTTACAAGTTCTTGAACCACCAACACAGCAATGAGTTCAGAGCTCTTGTTACAGCTGAGATTAAACTGCCAAACAAGTAACAAGGGGCACAAAGGTGAAGTCATTCAACCTAAGGACACACAAATTGTGGGCTTTCAATTCAGTATCATTGCACACACACTTCAATTGCATGTTTCCTGCCGACACACCAGTCATCATCTTCATCATCCCCTTTTGTAAGACTCTATTTCAGATTTAAGGAACAGCTGTATTACCTTTAACCATACCTGAAACTGTTCTTGACTTGGGGGGAAGCTGGAGGTTGTTTTGGTAATTTTTTTTCTTTCCTAATTCACTGAAATAACTTTGAACTGTTTTCACACAATTATACCTACAGTCAGTCCCTCCTCAGAGTTTCTGCCCTTGCCCTGGATTCAGGCAACATGGACTGTTTTGAAATCTCAACTTAAACACAGTTTATAAACCCCTCAGGCTACAATTTCATGAATCAGTTTCTGCAGAAATTTTGTCCTTACGTTTAAAACTCCAATTCCAACCTATTTAAGTTAATCCTTCTTTTTAGAAGCTAAAGGAATGATCAGTTCCTGATCATTTTTCTCAGGCATATATCTACTAATAGCTTTCCCACACTACCCAAATTGAGTTTAAGAATTACACCTGACAACACTGACTCCATGACTCTGCAGGGAGCAACTCTGGCTATGCAACAGAAGCACAGAGGTCTGGTCTCTATCTTCCTTAGGAACATGACAAAGCACTTTCTAGACTGTGCAGTGCAACTTCTGCTCCATAAAAAAAACATGATACAAAGACAACAGACTTCATCCAAACACCAGATCATGAGCTACTCTGGGGTACCACTGAACAAACCAAATACCAAACTAGGCAAACCCAAGATACGTTGGCCTGTCACCTGTACCTGGAAATCAATCACCTCAGTATCAGTGGTTGGGTTCCAAAGCCCTGTTTCAGGGGCAACACTGGAAAAAGTCAATCTGCCTTCAAATATACACTGTAATACTGCATTACCTTCTCTAGCTTAAATGTCACTCGATATATTAAGCTACATAAAAATAGGCAGTAAAAAAAAAATTTCTAAATGTAACTGGACAGACTTAATTTCTTCATCCTTATAACACGTCAGAAAACAGCATGTGCTGGATAAGGCATAAACCAGCAAATCCCTAAATTACCTTGTCAACAGGACTTGGTAATGGAGCATGGATAACGCTGAAAAAAAAAAATTAAAGCGTGTGAACACAAAGAGCAGAATGGGAGTTCAAAACCCCAGACCATCCCCAGCCCTGTGCATTTAATCAAGATGCTTTATAGTTTTACGAGAAAAAAAATGAAGAGGTAATATACAAACACGTAAAACCAGTTAATAGCATGCTGAAAGACATTTTCAAAGTGACAGAACTATTCAAATTACAAATACAAGATCTATTCTACAAAATCTTTACCAACTTTTATTTCACTACTTACATAATTAGATTCTTTTGAAACTGATTTATTAAGATTTAAACCAATTCACAAGAAACCCCAATGAATATTACAGAGTGGGTACACTATTTCTGCTTACCAATTCAACAGAGGGAAGTAATATTTGGGAACTTACAGAATTTTGTACATTTCCACTAGAGAAAATGATGTATTTGCACATTTTGATCAAGACTAGAAATTTAAAACATTTCTACTATTTCTTATAACAGGACATGCAATTATATGGAGAATTTCCAATAATAATTCATTTTTACTTATCCTCCCAGAAGCAAAGACACATTAAAGCTTCATGCAAGTGTCTCTGGACACTAATGATAAAAGAATATTTAAATAAGCAATAAACAACATACGACTGCTGACAATGAAAAATGATCAACATTGTGTCACTTGTAAATGGCACTGGTGCAAACAAAATGTTTAAGTTTTTGGTTTCTATTACTCTGAAATTTTCTCCAAAATGTGCACACAACAGCAACATGTGTCAATCCTCAGCTGAGTTTGCACTAACTTCACTTCAGTAGATTTGATGTACCTTTAAAGGAGCAAAAATACTAACAGAGAATGAAAGAAAGAAGGCACGTGAATTGGCTCATCTGCTTTCTTTTTCCTTATATTCTTCTATTTCTAATACCCATTTCAGTAGACTAAACCACAGACAATGAGAAAAGCCCAACTTTAAAGAAGAAAAATGTTCTTATCGAGAACTCTGATATGCTTCATAGTCATCTTAATTTCTATAAGCAACAAGCAAATGAGATTTCTTTTCCATAATGCCTGCAAAGAACCATGCTCTCAGTCACTTGCTTTGCACAACCACAGGAAAACAAACTGTTCCTATGCTGATCTTAAACATCATATCCTTCACATCCTCATGACACAGTAGTTGAATTTTGCTACACATGAATACTTATTCTTACTCTGATCGCAATCGAGCTTCCATTCCATCTGGAAGGAACAGTTTGATTGTGGAGACTATACATCCATGGGTAACTGAAAAGAAACAAACACTAAGTCATCATGATTCATTACTATTTCATTCTAAATTCAGTGGTTAATGCTATAGTAACCAAGCAAACTGTCTGAAGAAACCCTGAGACAGGCAAAGAAGAGGCATTCAAACACCAGTGCCTGGGTCTGCCTTCTCAAACCTCCTCTGGAGACAGGAAACTTCAGCACTACAAACTTGAAGAGCTTATGCTGTGTACTTAGCCCTGGCTGTGTAGCAGTTCCAGTTCCTATTCTTCCACATGCAGCATTACCTGAGACGTGCCTTTACTACAGTAAGTCAAATAAGTTACTGGCATAATTTGCTCATAAAATGAGGAAAGAGGAATACATCTTACCTGGGCTAGGTAACAGGAATGCAAAGGGATAAACAAAGTAATGAGCTGCCTTTTTGACAAGATTCCTACAAGCATATCCAGGACTTAAAAGGTAAGGCACTCAGTTTGTGTTGCTGACACTCACTTAAACACCTGCAGCTTGCCGAGTGACTGTTATTTACAAACAAGGATCAAAAAGGAAATGCAGAGGAAGTGTGTAGGAACCACTGAGAAGAACATCCTCTCAAGCACCACAAGCAGCATCATTCAAGACAACACATCTCTATTTTGGGATGCTTGTAGTGCACATCCAATGCACGGCCCTAGACAAGTGGCCTCTCATTTCAGAAGAGGAAATCTTGCTTCTCCTGGACTAAATTCAAGATTTTTTTGAACTCAAGAAAGATCCTAAGGAGTAAGAAATACAGTATTTGATTCTTATATCAAGTTCAAGCTTTTTTCACAATGTTTTCTAAAAATGTTACTGATCCCATTTCAGTGCCTTTGCAAACAGAGTATGTTTGGGATTTGTTTCTTGTTTTTCCTTCTATGGTTCTATCAATTGGGAAATAAAAATTGTTTTCAGATACACAGAAAGATAAGATACACATTTGCTCCCAAAATACTACCACAAGCTCGATACAAATGAGTACATGGTCACCTAGCATGTACCACTATACCTCAGGCACCCACAGACAAAGAGCTGCTCTACTTTCACGGTTATTAATATCAGCAAAACAGTTAATCTGGCTTTGACAAAAAGGGTAATGGGTGTTTTAGGACATCAGTAATACTCCAGGGAGAGGAGACAGGTCTTTGAGGAAGCTACCTGAATAGAATCTAAAAATACAGGAGAAATGATCCAACTAAGCCGAGTTGTTTTTAACCTTTACTCACAGCTAAAAGCTAATGCTTTGGAGCTGTATCCTCCTGGCTGCAGCACCTTGTTTTGTCAAGCTGACTTGGTAAAGTATTAAATTTACATGCCAGAGCAGAACAGATGAATCTCTGGGGTTTGGGCTCTTTACTTGCAATGGAACAAATCCATTCCTGAAAAAACACTGGAAATATATATTAGCAATATTAGCTGCAGCCTGTAATACTCACAGAGCTTTCACACTGAAGTATCTTTCCTTTCAGAGGAAATTAGTGATTTCAATAGAAGTGTTAGGGCATATAAAATGAAATACCAACAGACAGCTCTACCTTTGGCTCATATATCAGGAAGGTCTGCTGTGAGATTATATAATTCTGAGGTTTTCAGTCATCACCCAGACTGAAAAAAAATCTCCTAAAAGCCACAGGAACTTTATTTGTACAAAATGTTAAGATATAAAGAACATTTAGCAAAAGGTCTCGAACAGACAGTGACACGGAAAAGATAAGAATTTTGTGAAGTTTATGAAATAAAAATAATTCAAAGAGGATAAAAGACTAAACCACCAAACGCCACAGTCTGACCTTTAGCTATCAGCTCACTGTCACTGGAAAAATAATGAGAACGCCCGAGGGAAAGGCAAAGCAACACCGAAAACACGAACACCGCGCCGACTGCACAGGACAGTAATTATTTACATTCGGGTCTATGCCATTTCTTCCGTGCAATTACACAGAGACGGCAGCCAAGCAGGCTCCGGCTGCCCGAGGGGCCCGAGACATCCTCCGCTCCCCCAGCACCGCCCTGTCCCCGCACCGCACTCACCTCGGGCGCTGCCGCGGGATGCTGACC